GTCAATTACTCCAGCCTCCATTTCTGCCCCAATTAAAATTCTCCATCTTTCCTATGTGTCCTTGAGCCCCTGGAAAATTTTACTCACCCTTCAAGGCTCAGAACAAACATTATTTCCTGATGAGATTCTGTCTGGCCATTCCAGGCCAAGATTTTCATTTTTTTTATACCCAGAATCCTTGGTTCATACTTCTCCTATAGCCTTCATCACCTGGTATGATTTGTGGCTGCCAAGGTAAAGATGGTGAGTTTCTGGAAGGTAGGAAATATCTACTTCATCTCTGTATCGTGGTGTCTACCAGAGATCAGCACATATTATCTGATTAGTAAATGCTTGTTAAATGGCACTGGTTTAAGGATCTTATCATTTTGACTTCCAAACTTTAATATATAATTATTATAGTCAATACTAGGAAAATAGAATAAAAGTTGCTTACATTTGGTTTTGGAATTTATGGGGCCAAAGGGAGGAGAGAAGGACATGAGGGGCTTATAACTGGATGTGGATATGGATAGTGTTCTGGGAATTTATTAATGGAGCTATAAAGCATCTCAGTTCTCTCTGTTCAACTCCCTACTGGAACGTCTGCTTCTCTCTAAAGCTGCTGTCTGGATCTCTTCTTTCCCTTTGTATCAGTAGGGAAGGTAATTAAGTGTTTCAAAACCAAATTATGTTTTGAAGGTCTGTCCTTGTGCTGTGTCAGGTTTAGTAAAAATGCTTCTTTTACTGACGTTTCATCATTGTAGGAGGACATTACAAATTTCTTGGCCTCTTTCTATACCAGATCTGTGCCTCTACTGGGGCCAGCCAGTGTTTACCCCCTGATTTCCCTCTTCTATTTAAAGTTACTCCAAGGGCAATTCCATGATATCCATATTTTCATATTTCCACCTTAAGCATTTTGTGACAAGGAAACTGAGCCCCCACACATGAAAAGACACAGGCTGTGGAAAGAGACTGGATTGGGAGTGGACAAGCTTGAAATCTGGTCCTGGTTCTTCAATGTGTGACCTTAGGCAAGTCTCTTAGCCTCTCTGAGCCTCAATTTCCCATCTTTAATAGGAACAATCAAATCTATTTTGCAGTGTCTGGAGATAAAACAGATAAAACTTCTGGTACAATGGCTAGAACATAGTAGCCATTCAATAAGTAGTAGAAGTTGTAATTATATTGTTATTATTATTATGTCTTTGGTTCTTTTCTCTACCACTATGCACACAGTTTCAGGCTGGATATTTTCTTTTCTAGATTTTATGTGACCTACCACTCTTTTTCTGTTACTGTATCTCTAGTTGCCCCAAATATCGCTGTTCCACTTATCCTAAAATCTAACCTTGTGATGATTCATTATCTGCGCCTCAGTCACTAAGCCCACTTTCCTCACTGCTGTCACGAGCTCCAGCATACTTCTAGTCCCCCTTCAGAAGACATGGAACCATCTCTCCTCTGTCTTTTTATCTACATATAGTTCTGCACAATTCTTTCTGAGATTTGTCCCTTTCTACTATTTCTATCAAGTCCTAGCAACTGTTATCTTAGATTTTAAATCATTTCAACAGCATGAAATACTAGGCTTTCTGCCTTCAATCTTCTCCTCTAATTCGTCCTCTACACTGCTGCTTAGATCTTTCTCCTTGAAGACTGATTTCATCATGTCACTGGATAACTCAAGAATCTTCAGAAACTCTCTGCTCTCTAATGCAAAGATCTTAACTTTTTGGCCTTGTCTTTGTTTTCAAGTAGTGACAAAAATCATTTACTCCCAATTTATCAGAGACAAGTTAGTATTTTCAAAGGAGATGATTACTCTAAAAGAGAAAAAAAACAAAGAGATTATTTTTTATTTTAGGAAAACTATTATCTAATCTATTGATACAACTTGCAGGATCTGAGCCTTGAATTGCTTTCCTTCACTTCAGCACTGAAGGTGGCATGGCCTCCGGGCTGGTAGAATTCTCTATCCCTCTCAGAAGCTGTTTTTTTCCTCCCTGGGCATGGTCCCAGGGTCATCATCTCCCCAGATCCAGAGCTGGATCACACTTCAGCTCTGGCCAGTGGATTCCTCTCTTGGACCTGGTCAGCCTGTGCTGACCTCCTCTATGAAGAATCTCCTGCATGTGGAACCTCCAGTATGTTCTGACCAGGACAGCCCACACCTGACTAGCATGCAGTGGGCTGAGACAGTGAGCACCAGCTTGCCAGAATACAACCGCTCCACATTCCTCTTCCACAAAGCCCACGCTTTGTAAGGGCCTTCCCATTTTCCTTACTTCTAGTCTGAGTGATGGCTCTAGTTAGACAATTTGCTAAACAAAGGTGACAGACAGGCCCTGATCCCAATAAATAATCATACTCTTCTAGGCTCTGTTTGAATGCCATCCGTCTCTCCATGGACTCCCTAATGGGCCATCCCTGGGGAACTGATCTTAAATAATTCTAGTTCTTACAATCTATGCCCATAACCTCGAGGAGCTCATTTCCTTCTCTGTTCCAAAAAGTAATGACAGTGCCATTCAATTTTTACTTGACCCTAATGTTTGCTGGCAACTTACTTCTTAGCAACAGGTTAAGGATGAGCTTTACCTTGCCCAGACTGATTCCCCTTCATCTGCTTCCTCAGCTTGAGCCAGAGCCTTTATTTCTGTAATCCGTTGAGCCTTGTCCTGTTCTGGCTCCTGTAGCCACTGCTGGGTCTCAGCTGCTGGGTCTCAGCTGCAGGTCTTCAGCAACAATTACCAAGAAAGACTAATATGTTTCTCCAAAAAGAAAACAGTTTGCAAAGTTCAATCCTGCCCAAATCACGGTGGTAGTAGATTCCTATTGCAATGTTGAGTGTCTCCATTCAGAATGACTCAGATGTCCAGAGATGGATCAGTGCTCCCAAACTGAGCTTCCACTCTTCTGCTTTTCAAATCTTTTAAAAAATAGTTGCTATGGAAGTCTCCCACACCCACCACGTCAGAGAACAAGCTTGAATTGTGCTGAAGTCTCTAAGAGGTTTCTTCACTTGAAATTTAAAAAATGACCATTTAATTCAGTTTTAATGTCATTTGCTCCTTTTAACTATTTGCATCTTCTAACTTGAATGAGGACCTCCAGCTTCCAGAATCCAGGTAAGGCTCAGGCTGAGTGATGCTCTTAGTCACAAGCTATGCCTCCCTCCCCCACACTCTTTCCCACTTTGCCCTTTCTCTCTGACACCTTCTTTCCCTCTTTGCCTCAGTTTTCTTTATTCCTATAGGAGCTAAGCAAATCTGTTTTTCATTTCCCACGCTCCCCTGTTTTCTTGTTTCTTCTTCTGCCTGTAGTATATTTTGTTTCTTCTCTAATCCGCTCTTCTAAATCTGTAGACCTCACTTCCTTCCAAACATGGCTGGAAGCTGGTATTTCCCAGGAAGGTAATAAAGGCCACAGATAACCATTCCTGTAGGGATGTGCAGTTCACAAAGCAAAGTTATCAAATGAGCTTCTTCTAACTCAGTTCACTCTTCTCTTTGGCGATTCCTCAGAATTTAAACACTCGGCACTATTGTAGCTTGAATGTAGAGGTATTATTTTCTGAGCCCTCTGCTGTTTATTTCCATGTGTAAACTCAAATCTTCCTACAGAAGTTGTAAGTTTCTTGAGAACAGTAATTATTTATTTCTTTTAGAAATGCTAACACTTCCCACTCAATTGGTATCATTTTTTAACATGTAGTGTGTAGTGAAGGGAGGTCTAAACAGGCGACGAGGAGGCAGTGACTCTGAACGGGGATGGTGTGGCGCAGGGCTTGCGCGTTGGTCAGGAGAGGGGGATGCTGGCCTCAGAGATGCCAGCCCTGAGCGCCCCGCCCCAAGCTGAAGGAGAGCAAAAGGGAAACTCAGTCACGCTGATCCTGTCTTTATTGAAAATTTCGGTATTTTGTCCATCATGGATTTTTTTTGCATTAATTTTGATTTTTAAAAGTGCGTTGAAGTATTATCTATCTTGATTACTGCGGTTTTGGCACCTCGCTCGCCTCACCCTACTGCCGATCTTATGCTGAAGCCCCATTATTAAACATGGCAGTCTTTTGCTTGTGAATTTATGTGTCTGCTCAAAATATAAAGTAGAGATCCACTGACTTAGAGCAGTAGCTGTGGAATTCAGTGAGCATCAGACCCACTTGGAGGGCTGGTTAAAACGCAAATTGCTAGGCCCCGCCCCCTGTTCAGCAGGTCTGGGCAGACCGGAGAATTTGCGTTTCTAACAAGTCCCAGGTGAAGCTGCTACTGCTGCAGGGACCACACTTGAGGAATCGCTGACTTGGAGATCCTTCTCTGTCCCAGATTGCTCAGAATGGATGAGGCGGCACTCAAGGTCAGTTCCCTTTATTTAGTCTCTGAATAACTTTTTCTTTCTTTTCTTTTTTTTTGGAGTGTGTGTGTGTGTGTGTGAAAAAGAGGCAGTAATAATATAGTAATAAGCTCAATTACATCTAATCATATTTAGGTAAGACAATTCCCAACTTTTAGTTTTTCACAATGACTTATTTTTAGGAAAAGAAGTATTTTTCTTAACTCTCTGAAAGAACTGTATATTTTTAAAGTTTACAAACTGATATGTTTTTACAAATTAACATATTTTATTTTTTAGAGCAGTTTTAGGTTTATAGGAAAATGGAGCAGAAAGTAGAGTTCCCACATCCACTCTCCCAGCCGCGAAACACGGTTTTCCCTGTTAACATCTTGCATTAGTGTGAAACATTTGTTCCAATTGATGATTCGATGCTCATATTGATACATTATTAGTAACTAAAGTCCATAGTTTACATTAGGGTTCACTCTTTGTACATTCTATGGGTTTTGACAAATGTATAATGCCATGTATCCACCATTACAGACAGTATCATACAGAAGAGTTTCACTGCCTTAAAAATCCCTTGTGCTCCCCCTGTTCATCCTTCCCTCTCTTCCTCCTGCTGAACCTTTGACCACCATTGATCTTTTTTACTGTCTCCATAGCTTTGCCTTTTCCAGAATGTCATATAGTTGGAATCATACAGTATGTGGCCTTTTCACTTAGCAACTTTCACTTAGCAATATGCATTTCAGGTTCCTCCATTTCTTTTTGTGGTTGATAGTTCTTTTCTTTTTTATTGCTGAAAATTATTTCATTATATGGATGTACCACAGTTTATCCATTCACCTATTGAAGAACTTGGTTGCTTCCAATTTTTGACAATTATGAACAAAGCTGCTTTAAATATTCATTTGCAGGTTTTTGTGTCAACCTAAGTTTTCAACATTTGGGTAAATACCAAGGAGTTACAATGACTTTTAAAACCTTTTATCGCTATGTTTCGATAGGGAAATGGTGGCATGGGCTTAGTTCTCAAACTGAGCACTGTTATTACAGTGACTACTGCCTGCTGCTTTTTATGGAGTAAATGAGTTTATTCATGTAAAGCATTCAGAAAAGTGCCTGGCAAATAGTAAGCCCTCAATAAACGTCGATGTCTTCTTCTTCTTCTTCTTCATCATCATCATCATCATCATCATCATCACCACCATTACTAGGTTCCAGATGCTGAGTTAGGGGCTTCATGTACTTTATCTCTTCTTCTTAAAGAACTGGGCAAGTTAGGACTTCTTCTTCCTGCTTTACCCATGGATATCTGAAGCTTAGAGAAGTTAAGTAACATGTCCAACATGTGTCACCCAACTAGAGAGTGGCAGAACCAAGATGTAAACCCAGGCCTTTCTGATGCCGAAGCTCTAAAAACACTTCCATGGGGAGGGAAAGGAGTTTTACTAAAAATGTTAGACAGAAAGAAAGGAAAATACTAATAATTAGTTAAACATTGGGATTTTTTTAAAGACATTATAAAAAAATAAAAGATTAATTTTATCAACCCTTGTAAAAAAAACTTATGCTATAATTATGTGCTGTAATTATGGGTCTAAATATTGTAAATAATTCATTATGCTTATTTGTACAAATTACAAAATGAGTTATAATTATTCCCATGATGTAAATAAATGATAAGTGACTACATGCTGCCTGAGAAACATAATGGAATGACTTTTCAAGTCATTCTTATTAAAGCAAAGGAATTCCATGTTACTGGAATTAACTTCTACCTAACCCAAAGATTAGCATTCCAGTCATAGCCACGCCTTTCTAAACTGCCCTGCCTGTCTCTACCACTTCATGAGATTAATACATTTCTTTACTCTTTCCTCTCACAGTCCTGGGAACTCCAACTTTTCTATAACACAGTGGTTAAATGCTTAGGCTCTAAAGACAGAAGGATGTGGTTTCAAATCCTGTGTTTACCCTTTATTGTGCTGTGTCTCGACATGGGGCACATTACTTCTAGGCCTTGAATCTTCATGTGTGCAGTGGTGATAAGATGGTTGTGAAGATAAGATAACACAGTGTGTAAATAAATACACACTTAGCACATGGTCTGGAATATAAAAAGGAATCAGTACGTGTTGCTACTATTATCAAGGCCGGATTCTCATAGATGCTCTTCAAATACTGAGTCAAAGATTCAGTACCTTGGGGAAAGAGGGATGAATGTGTATGGAAACAAGAAATATTTCATATCATACATGCAGGGTAGACTATCTACTAAGTAATCTTATTCTCTTTTTTGTTCATTGAACACTTATTAATCAAAAATTTATTTCCAGAAATTTTGCACAGTACTGGGAAACAAAAAACAGTATGACAACTCCCCTGCCTTCACAGAACTTACATTCTAGAGGGGGAAGATAGGTGTGTAAATATATAAATTAATAAATGATACCTTGAGTGCCATAAAAACGGTACAAACCCTGGGGTGCTGGACAATTTTGGTCTCCAGTGAGAGTGAACTATGTAAGAGCAATTAAACCTGCTCATAGTCACCTGATAGAGATCTGCAGCTGAATTCCAATCAATGCAAAATGAAGCCTTCAGGAGGGACCGCCAGTATTCCGCCTACACAGAGCTGGTGCATCTAATCTGCAAATCCAACTGGGAATGAGAATGTGACGACTGTAACACTGGTACACACAAATGGGGTTGCATCCAGGTTTTGGGCACGGCAGAACTCTAATTTCAGTTGTTGACATGGCTCCAGAAAAGAGTGCAGTATCCAATATCAGAACAATGTTTTATGCCTCCAGGGCCACATTTCAGACCTCCATTAACCAAAAGAGCCACATGACTCCTGGCTACCTTGAAAAATAACCTAATAACGTGGTACTGAAATGAGAAGATGTTAAAGAACCACAGGCTAATTGTAAAAGGTTCCCAGGGTGCTCAATAGATGTGAGATCCTTATATAGACACCGAGAGTCCCCTGTGAATTTCCTTCGAGCTGCTTTCCTGTCTTATTCATCTTTGTGTCCCTCAGGTCCTAGCAAAGTTCCTGTCATACAGACCCTTGTCAAAAGTTTGTTGTATCTAAGTGAGTTGAATTATTAGAGTTTAAAGAATTGCAAAATACTGAGTTGTCCCATAAAAAAATTATCTTATTACAGCACAAGAGACCTATGATACAGAAATAACAATCAATGCCTGAGGAGCTCAATATTTTTAAAGGACTGTAAATTAACACTTTAGAAAGCCCCTTTGGCTAATTGCTTGCTAATATATTTATTTATAATAAATTATAATAAATAATAGCATTCTTCCTTTTTATAAGAATGTAATACTAGCGATCTCTATCCATGAGGAAAATGTTTTAATATTTTTCTTCCAGAAGTGATGAATAGCGTCTAGCTCAATTGTCCACTTTCTTGACGAGTTCTGCTTATTTTTACTATGAATTTGTGCTATTTTTAATTTTTATAAAAATTGTGAAATTAATACTTGCCTGAAACAAATGTAGAAAGTAAAAAATGAAACTTTTTTGCTTCCTCCACCTACTGCTCTTGATTCCAACTTTTGGTGTACATCTTTCCAGTCCTCTTTCTATATATGCGTAAAGCTACATCCATAATGCATATCTCACGTTTATCTAGTATTTTAACAAAAAACCGATCGTATTATATGTTTGTTTCCTGCAACTGCAACTGCCTTTTCTTAGGACTCAGTCTCTGTATAGAAGTCCTAATGTAACTATACATTTAGTTTTGTGTTTATCTTCCCCACCAGATTATAAACTCCATAAGAACTGTTATTCTCCAATGTATATCCAGTACTTAACACAGTTCTAGGCCCATAATAGTCTCTTGATTAATATTGATTGAATAAATGAATGAAAAAAATTTTCACCAACGTGGCATTGTGGATATCATTCCATGAGGGCCAGGACTCCATTGCATGGATATGTTACTTTTGATTGGAGGATATACTACCAATTCCCCGTTGGTGAGGGCCCACCTTCATTTTATTTTCTCATTTTAAGCTAGTCCTTTATAAAAATGAAAGTTTTATCTTGGTATATGTCTTAGTCCATTCAGGCTGCTATAAAACAGTAACATAGATTGGGTAGCTTATAAACAACAGAAATTTGTTTCTCAAAGTTCCGGAGGCTGAAAGTCTGAGATCAGGGTACCAATGTGGTTAGGTGAGGGCTCTCTTCTAGATTACAGACTTCTCACTGTATCTTCACATGGTGGAAGGGACGAGGGAGCTCTGTGGGGTCTCTTTTATAAGAGCACTGATCCCATCCATGAGAGTTCCACCCTCATGACCTGTGCACCTTCCAAAGGCCCCACCTCCTAATACTGTCACTTTTGGGAGTTAGAATTTCAACATGTGAATTTTGGGGGGGCAAAAACATTCAGATCATAGAAGCATAGTAAAAGCATTCAAACCATAAGGAAAAATATATATAAAATGAAAAATAATAATTGTCATCTCTTCCTACCTCTAATTCCATTTCTCAAAGGGTGTACTAGTACTACTTTTAGCCACTTCTCTTTTATATCATCTGATGCTTTCCTTTATAATTTAAGTAAAATATTTATGATTCATAATTCATAATTTAGATGACAGCTTTTAATTATTATCTGTGAAAGATGAGGAATTTAGTACATATAGTATCTCAATCACAATCCCTTCAATTTTCTGCTTTTAAAAAAGTTTTATACTTATTTTTCATGTAAATTATTTTTCATTGTAAATTTATGCTTTATAATTTAGCACTCCTTGATTTATCTGTAGATTGATTCTAAAAATTTAAACAAATAAAAAAATAACATTTACAGTATTAAAATATTCTTCATTATCAAGTCAAGTTTTCTTTTTTTGCTCTAAAACAAAACTGGTTCCTTGTGTCTCATGTCATATTCTTTCTTGCATTCCTTTTTTGTTTCACTGAAGTTTTTTCTAAAGAAATAGTTTTCCTATGGGATGCATGAATGTAAACTTTCTGAATCCATACATAGCTGAAAATATTTTATTTTATTCTCACAATATTTGATAGTTCAGATAGGTATAAAATTCTAGATAGAAAATTATTTTCCTTGGATCCTTGAAAGTGTTGCAATTTGGTGTTCCTGTATCCAGTGTTGTTAATGAGAAGCCTGTTGCTAGATTATTTCTCATTTCTTTGTAGGTAGGTGTGTCTTTAAAAATTTATTTTCTGTCAAAGGAGTACATGATTCTCTCCGAGCGATTGTTGCTGTTTTCTGATTAAGGGTCAAATAGCTCTCTAAAAAGCTTATTAAATAACAAACATGTTTTACTGCCACTTCTTGTTTTTTTTTGTATTTGTTTTTGTTTTGGGTGTTATCTAATGATCTTTCATAAAGGAAACTGAAGATTTATTATTCTTTTATCAATTCCCCAAACAGTCTTCCATTCCTCCTACCTTTCCAATGAACCTGTATGTAGTTTTGGTTAGATCAATGTTATATTTTTATGATTATGACCATGTAAACTTTACTCAAAGTTCTCTTGCACATCTTTTTGCTCTCCCTGAAGTTTTTCATTTCCTTTTTTATTTTAGTTTTTAAAATATATTTATCCATAATTTATATCCAAACTTTGTGTTAATTGTTTAAATATCCTTTGATATATCTGAGCACATGTGGTATGCCATCAACTTTGTCTTTTTGGAGAATTTTCTACTGGAAATTTCTGAACTCCTCTAATTTGGACGTGTCTCTTCCTAGGCTTGTTGCATAGCTATCATCCTGGGGTCTCCTTTCACCATCGTTTTGGAAATTTCCTCACCTCACTTGGATTGAATTTCCTGTTCCAGAATCTCATATATTATTTCTTCTTTCACTTACTCATTTTGGAGGAACACCTCCTCCAGTAGCTTCCTGAGAAACAGTGCATGGGATACAAGTTTTGACACCTTACATTTCTGAAAACATCTTTATTCTACCCTCATACTTAATTGATAATTAACTGGATTTGAAATTAATTCTGTGTTGGAATCCATTTTTCTCAGACTTTTTGAAGACATTGCTGCATTCTCTTCAAGTTTCCACTTTTGCCATTGAGGATTATGATGCAATTTTTATTTTTTTGCATACAACCTATTTTTAGCCTCTGAAAGTTTTTAGAATTTTCTCTTTGTCCCCAGTGTTCTAATATTTATCCATCACATATTGAATTTTAAGATATCTTTTTGCTCTGAATGCTCCTTATTAAAAGCATCATAATCTTATTTTATGCACATAATATTTTCTTTTATTTCTCTGAAAGTATTAATGATAATATTCTTTAAACATTTTCTTTAAAACAGACTGTTTCCTCCAACTTTCTTTATTCTGTATGTGGTTTTGCTCTTTCCTGCTAGGTTTCCTCAGATATATGTTGATCCTTGGTTCTATGCTCATTTAAGAATGGGGCACTAAAAAGCTGCTGGGAAGCTGTGTGAACATGGTTGGGGCTTGTTGACTGTGGGCCTCCCAGTAGGACCATTGACCAGGCAATTGAATTGGGGAATTCCTGATCTCAGTATCCTCAGGTCTGTTCTTTGGAGTTGTTCTTATTTCCTAGAGAAGAATCTCCTAGTGTTCTGTCTGGAGGGTAAAAGCATCAGCAGAAATATTCTGGGATCCAGCTGGGAACAGGGCAATGGGTCTCAGGATTCTGTATATACCTGGACTTTCATTTACTCCTCTGTTTTTCATATGCTAACCCGTCTCTCAGCTGAATCCTCAGCTACTTTAAGTCTCAGGTATGCTAAGTCAGTAACCATTAATAGCTTCCAAAATCTTGTTGTTATAATCTCTCTTCCTGTTCTTTTTTTTCTCATTAGATTAATATCTTCTTTTAAAGCTTTTAAAACTCACTCATACTTATTGTGATTAGTGATATGTTTGGATTTATTCCACCTGCCATCTTATTTTGTTTTCTGGTTGCCAGACTTTTAAAAGCTTTTCTTCCTCTGTTTGCTCTTTCTTGGATAGATTGTTTTCCTGTTCCACTTCCACCTTCATCCTAAGGTGTAGAAATTTTACAGTCTTTATATTATATTTCTAATCTGCCGAGGGTTAGTCTTAAAAATTTAATAGTAATGAACATATTTTTCTATCAATATCATTGTCAGTCAATATCTGTATAATTTCTCCAAAAAAGATAAGAAACTTAGAATGCTTATATTTCCTCCTCCTCTTCTCTCCAGCTATTTCCCTTGTTGAGATTATCTGAGATTTTAGTTCCAGATTGTTAGGAATCTTTATATACTTGACATATATTATTTTATTTATATTGTTATTCTATTTTTATATACTATATAGTATACTATATATTGTATACTATATATGTATATACTGTCGTGCATTGGTTAACAATGGGGATAGGTTCTGAGAAATGCCTCGTTAGGTGATTTCGTCCTTGTGCGAACATCGTAGAGTGTGCTTACACAAACCTAGATGGTATAGCCTACTACACACCTAGGCTATATATGGTACTAGTCTTATGAGCTCACCATCATATGTGCAGTCCATCATTGACCGAAATATCATTATGCAGCACATGACTGTAATAGATATTATATAATATTTATATATTATAATTATATTTATTATATACACTATGATATATACAATGACATAGTATATATTATTATAATATTATTTATCATTGCTTATCATTGCATTTTTTGATCACACTCTTCGATTCATTTTTTGATTGCTTCTTTTGTTTTGCTGAAGTACAGTTTAGGAATTCATTGAGAGAGAGGTCATAGGTTAAAAAAAAGTTCTGATTCCTTGTGTGTTCAAAAAATGTCTTTATTCTGGTTCACTTTTTTTTTTTTAATTTTTATTCATTTATTTTTCCCCCAAAGCCCCAGTAGACAGTTGTATGTCATAGCTGCACATCCTTCTAGTTGCTGTATGTGGGACGCGGCCTCAGCATGGCCGCAGAAGCAGTGCGTCGGTGCGCGCCCGGGATCCGAACCCGGGCTGCCAGTAGCGGAGAACACGTACTTAACCGCTAAGCCACAGGGCCAGCCCGTCTGGTTCACTTTTGAATGATAGTTTGCTGGGCATGGAATTCTAGGTTCAAAATAATTTTCCCATATGAATTTTTAAGAGATGGCCCTAGCAAAACATTCTTACATGTATTGTGGGTGCAAGTCTAAGTTTTGTTCCTTTATTTGGAATCAAAATATTGTTCCTCTTTAAAGCAATTGAGATTTTTGTCTCTATCATTGGAATTCTGAGTATAGTTGTTCCTCGGTATCTGTGGGGGAATTGATTCCAGGAACCCCCAGGAATATTGAAATCCGTGGGTGCTCAAGTTCCTTATATAAAATGACATAGTATTTGCATATAACCTATGCACATCCTCCAGTATAATTTAAATCATCTCTAGATTACTTATAATACCTAATACAATGTAAATCTATGTAAATAGTTCTTATACTGTATTATTTAGGGAATAATGACAAGAAAAAAGAGTCTATACTTGTTCAGTACAGATACAACCATCATAGGCCTTGCAGTCAGGGGTTGGTTGAATCTGTGGATGCAGAACCCTTGGATACAGGAGGCTGACTGTATACACCATAATGTGTCTTTTTATTTTTCCTGTTTGGCACTTAGTGGGTCCTTTCATCTTGAGGATGCCTGTCTTCATGCAGAAAATTGTCTTCCATTGTTGCCTTGAATATTTCTTCCCTTCAATACTATATATCTCCTTCCTGAGATAATAATTAGATAAATATTGGAACTTCTGAGTCTAATCTTTGAACCTCTTAACTTTTTAAATTTACAGTCAATCTCTTTGTCATTTTGAGTTGTGTTGTGGAAGAATTCCTCAGTCTGATCATCTCACTCAATTTGATTTCTATTGTCCATTTTGCTACTTAGCATAGCTGTTGAGTTTTTAATTTTTTGATTTAAATGATCAGATTTTTAGTTTTAAAGATCTACATTTGGTTCACTTTACGGATGTCGTATTCACTTTTATGTCTTTGAGGGTATTATTTATACCTATTCTAAAGGTTTATTCTGTTTGCTCTATTTCCTCGGGATGCAAGTGCTTCCATTTGTTATGTTTGATGATGTTCTAAATTAAATATTTGTGACTCATGGTTTTGCATTCTTCAGATTCAAGCTTCCCTGTTAGCCTGTCTGCGAAGCCTGCTTTGGGGAGAGGGTCAGTGTGCTGTCTGATGAAATGTCTCTCCAGTGACTGGAGGAGGGGCAGGTGCTTATTCTGGAGAATGTAGACAGGTTTCTGGGTATAGAGAATACTTATTTCTCCTCCTTCTACCCAGGGCTTTGCTCTGTGTCTGTGCCCCAAGTGCTTGCTGCAGTCGTAGTTCTCCCCTGGGGCCAGCATTTCTGTTGCTCACCAGCAGAGCCCAGGGCAGGCTGGGGCACTCATCTCTTAGCGGCCCCAAGGCCCACTCGTCTCCCCAGTAACTGCCACATCCTGGCTTCAAGCACCTTTGGCCTCCTTCATTTTTTCAGTAATCTTTCTTCATGTGCTTCGGTTTGTGGTTTTCTCCTTGAATCTGATCCCATTTGACCTTCAGAAGTCCTCAAAGTTTCTGGTCCTATGAAGGCGTTCCTTGTTGTTTGCTCTAGAAATGAACACTAAAAATTTTTAATTGTTGTTATTTCTGGGGATGGTGCAGGAAGAGAAGCCTGCAGCTTGTGCTCACTCTGTCATCCTGAATCTAGAGCCCCGATTTCCTAAAGGAGCAGTTTTCAGCTGGCCTTCTATGGCAGGATAGTATAGCAGGGCTATTAGGAACATGTTTCCTGGAGCCAAACTGTTCCTGGGTTTGAATTCCTGTTCTATCATTTACTAGCCATGTGACCACAAATAAGTTGCTTAAGCTCTATGTGCCTCAGTTTCTTTACTTAACGAATAAGGATAATAATAAAAATATCTACTTCAGAGAGTTGTTATGAAGATTCGATGATTATCTGGCTTTTTGTAAGTCCTCAATAAATAGCTACTGGAAAGCTATTGTCTAGATCCTTAAAACTATGATTTTAGCCAAAACTTTCTTACAAAAGACATTGCTTTCACATTTGTAATTACTAAGGCATATAAATGTTAGCCATTCTAACTCTGAAAATTGCAAGGGGCCAATTGGCTTAGCTGTTCTGCATTCAGTTCTTTATTATCTTGATGAGAGCTCCCAGTCCCATTCTTGATTTTCGTATTAGTTGACTTACATCTTGCAGTTTCATTGAGCACTGTAGTTTTGAAGTGCTGTTTCTGCTACTGTGTTTTCTTTATTCACTTGATCATATTTGCTTTCTCTCTTCCTGGTTCCTTTGCTTGATTGCTTTCTTGTCAGCATTATTATAGGTTCATTTAAAAAGCTAGTAACTTTTCTACCATTTCAATAGGACAGAAAAGGAGGAAGCATAGGTTGATGCATGTGTTTGGTCTTTCATCTTGAATCTGAGTCCTGTCTTACGAATTCCTAAACTTCCTGGCTAGCACTGGAGTGTAATCTGTGGCCAATGACAATGAAACAGCGTTTTATCCCTGTGTACTGCACTGAATCACAGTTCTGTTTTTTCTTGGGTTTCGTTTATTTGTTTGTTTTAATTTGCTTGCATTTCAGTGACTCACAGTTTCTCCTTTCTATGGCTAATCACACAACAGCATGGATATTTATGAAGCTCAGTCACCCGTTCAGACCAGAATATTGGCACTTTCAGATCTTCAGCCATAAGGCCGAGCCGCAGGTTCTCTTTCTGAGTTAGCCTTCTCAGTGTCTCACAACCCCGCACATTCTGTTTCTCTGCAGTTCACAACTAGGAAAACATGATTCTTTCAGGAAATTTTTCTTGCATCTCTCCAAGAGTAAACACAAAGTCTAAAACTAAATAAACTTCTCTAGTTTAAGTTTTAAGATGGAAAAGGGCAAAAATAGAGCAGAATGTAATAAATTCAGACTGATCTGAATTTATTAGATTAGAAGCCACTTGCTAATTTGAAAAGGCCCATTTTCCAAGAGATTGAATGAAGCAAGCTATATTAATGGATAACACTCTATGTAGGAAATAGTGCAGCTTGTGTGTTATTAACACTTGTATAAATAGGATTTGCATGTAAATGAATTTATCAGTGAAAATAGTAATATATATTATTTAAAAGAAGAGTTTAAATTTCAAAGTGCTGTGTAGTCACTTCCACTAGATAGTTAAAATGGTTTAACTGTTCTGTGTGGTGCTGGGGAAAAGGTTTGGGGCTACGGAGGATTAGTACAGATATCCTTCTGTCTGCTTCCATCCAAATAAAGAGGGTCTTTCTCCTTTCTGAAATGTGATAATCTTAGATTTAACTGTGTGGAGCACATTTCTGTAAATAAAAATACTGCTGATAGTCAGTCTGAAGAGAAATACAAATAGCTACTGGAAAGCTATTATCCAGAGCTTTAAAACTGGTTTTAGCCAGAACTTTCTTACAAAAGACATTGCTTCCACATCTGTAATTACTAAGGTGTATAAATAGCCCCCAAATTAAAGCACTGTACTTTTTTTTTAATTCCTTCCGCTTGGGAGATTGAAGTAAACTCGACACCAGGGCAAGGCCTCGTCTATAATACTCTCATGTCGCTATGCCTACTTTGTTCAATTTAGACCCAAATAGATTGTATCTCTCTTTATAGTCTTTTGGAGAATGTCTGCAAATAGGTGTTACCCATTAGATGAATTTAAACCTGCAGAATATTGAATCTTGCAGTTTTGCTGTCTCATGCACAAATCAGAAATACCCTATGTGACTTCTGTTTATTTCACTTACCACTGAACTAATACTAAGGATGGGCTAACAAGTTAGGTTAAATTAAATCCCACATTAGGCCTTTGTTAAGTAACAGACCCAAGATGTTTTTAAAGATCACAAGAATTTGAAATGAAATAAGGGAACAGATCTCTATTTAGTTGTGACTTCTCAATAGATGGTGACCCTATTGGTATTTAACATCCTGATTTTCCCAGTATTACATATATTTTCACTTGGCTGATGAAAGAGCAAGATCACAGTCATGAGTGCTGTAGCAGGATATGCCTGGCAGTTTTCCTACCCTAGAACGGGAAGGTTTATTTGTCCCTTTAGCATGGAAATTTTCAAACCATCCTAGAGATCTCTGGGAATTATGTTGGGGGCCTTTAGGGAATGTGGAGATCAGTCGTTGGAGAGAAGGCAAGCTGGCTGGAGTCCAGACCCTACCCCATTCCAAACCCACACAGCTTCATCATTACATACACATGGATTGTGCTTCAACATAAAATTTCAGTTTAATAAAGATTGTCCTCCTTACTATGAAGTAAAAACCAAACAAACTCCCCTCATGTTTGGAAACTAGTGCTTTCAAAGAAAATACATGATTCTTTGCTTTCTGAATGAAATTATGTCCAAGAAGAATTTTGAGATTTTCTGAAGGAATGATCAGTCAGATGAATTGGAAATGCACTGTTCTCTGAATGTTACTCCAGGGATTTGGGGTGGAGTGGGGGCAGCAAGGGAGTTGAAAGCCATGTATATTTGCCTTCAAGGACTAGACACCTCTAGCTTCGTGTTCAATTCATATTCAGATTCAACCAACATTTTCATAACTCTTATTGTGTGTCCAGCTGTGCTGTGAGTTCTTATGCATGTTGTTTTACCCATTCCTCATAGCCCCTCTGAGGTATGTATTATTATCCCCAGATTATAAGTGAGGAAACAAAGGCTCATGGAGGATAAATGTTTTGTGCAAAAACACACAGCTCATAATAGCTTTCTACTATAACATATTTTAGGTCTTAGACCCTAAAACTCTGAGAGTTTATACATTGCATCCTACTTCCATATTATTTGCACTGTTTGTGATTAAAAGTATATTGTTATCCTTCAGGAGGTGAATAGATAAATTGTGGTACATCTAGACAATGGAATATTATTCAGTGCTAAAAAGAAATGAGCTATCAACTCCTGAAAAATACATGGAGGAAACTTAAATGCATATTACTAAGTGAAAGAAGCTGATATGAAAAGGCCACATACTGTATGATTCCAAATATAGCATTCTGGAAAAGGCAAAACTATGGAGAGAGTTAAAAGATCAGTGATTGATCATGGTAGGAGGGAGGGAGAAGGATGAATAGGCAGAGCACAGAGGATTTTTAGGGCACTGAAGATACTTTGTATGATACCATAATGATGGATGGATACATGTCGTTATACATTTGTCCAAACCCGTGGAATTTGCACCACCAAGAGTGAAACCTAATGTAAACTATAGATTTTGGGAAATTATGATGTGTCAATGTGAGTTCATCTATTGTAACAAATTTACCA